GAGGGGACATAACTTTTGAAAAAAAAAAGTATCTATCCAAAATTTCAATTTATTTTTTATATGAATAGAATTTCAATTGGTGTATGATCGTGTATATATGATTTAATGAAATATTTTACAGCCCAAGTTAAGCCAAGAGCTAGTAGCAATCCAGATGTTCATTTTCTTGTTAAAAGCTCAAAAAATTAAACTGTGGTGGCAAATCAAGATAATTAAACCAATGCACCTTTAAATAAACTAAAGTATGTGCATAGAAAGTAGAGTATATGTATGTCAGAGTCTATCTCTATACTGGTTTGAAAAAACAGAAGAAAAAAAACATATATATCACCCCATTATAATATGTAAAATCTAAAGCTAATTAATTAATGGCATCAGTAAGTTGAGCGTATTAATTAAACTGAAGGATTACATCGCATGAGTAGGAATAACTAGAACGGTTTCTATAGCATTAATTAGGGCATCATATAAGCAAAATGATAGGATTAAAAAAGTGGGGATAGGAGGAGGATATGAGAAATAAAGGAGGGGATGGTACAAGAAGTTAATTTTAAGAACTGTTCGTTAAAAATATAGTTTGTGTGTAGCTCTATATGACATGATAACTATCAATTGTATTGTGTTGGTTGAAGAGTTCCCTTAGGCTAGTTCAGCACATATGGCAACACAGTCATTTGATGCATGCCTTACATAAAACAATTTGCTAATGTGGCACGGAATTAATTTCAAAGAAGAGAGAACAAAAAATTACTGTGCTAGTTTAAATGGTTCACGTTTGACCAGATTTATAGTAAATAATATTTATATTTATGGCTCCAAATTTATTTATTATAAAAATATATTTTAATGTAATGATATTTATTTGATTATAAATATTGATACTTTTTTTATCTATAATTAGACAAACTTAAAATACATGAGGTGCACTCAGAACTGAGATGGATTGACTAGCTAGCCATATGCCTTCATGAGGGCAGTCCTAATGCATGAAACTATGCGCGGTATCCAAGAGGACTACGTCAGCAAAAAAAATCCATAGAAATTATCACACATGATAGGTTTGTCTTCGCGAAATAAATATTAATCTTTTTTTATCTATCTCCCTTGTCTCTTGCTCCCTCCCGTACTCTCTATCTCCTCTCGTTCTCTCCCAACCGCACACGATGCAGAGGACAATGCACGCACGGCGGCCGGAGAGACAGGAGCGTGGCGGCGTGGGCGAGCGCTCGCGACGGAAGGTAGAGCAAGCAAGCGAGCGAGCACGGTAGCCAGCATGCGGGCGCGCGCGGCCGGCGGACGAGCACGCTGCCTGCTGCCTGGGCGCGGCGAGTGCACGCAAGGGTGGCGCAGGCGAGCAGACATGGCGGTCCGTGGACGAGCACGGCGGATGGCGGAGGGAGTGAGTGCCGGGCTATCCAGGTCCCACATAGAAACTACTGGTTTCCTCCAACAGTGATTTTGTCATTTCTTCCTTCATCGTTTCTAAGAGTAGACGTCGTTTCATGAATAAGAAATGGTTTCTCTTTTTTTTCTCTTTTTTTTATTATAATTAGGCTGTCATGTCAATATTTTGTTTAACTATTGAGTCATTTAATAAAGATAAAAACAACCATTGGGAGTGCCCTGATCCACTGTATCAAACCACTGGCCGCGTCGGCCCACGGGTTGCCAATTAATTAAGCCCCTTTTCATGATTATCAAACTACCTGTATATGTTGTACTACCAAACAAAATTTGCCGAACAATCCGCCACAGGCACCTTGCCCCCACGTGTAAGTGTCTCCATATTGAGGAGGATTCCCCCGGTACGCGTATCCATCCATCCATTCCTGGCTGCTAACAGCGGCAAACCGCGTGGACTATTTGAGACTATTATAGTTATATACACAGCTGATTCGAACAATTGTTGTGTGCAGTATGATTTTATGTTGAGCATAGATAACATAATTAATGCATATATAAGCCCATGATGCATAAATGGTTTAGAAGCAATCTAAACACCATCTAATCTTGTCGAATGAATTGTGAGCATAGATAATATATAGACAATAGCTCGACAATAGAAAAACTGCTGTCTATAATAGGCTTCTTAATTTCATGCTTGAAACCATTCGTTAATTATTATTACAGCAGACGATAGTACCTTTTTTCTTCTTCTTTTGATTTGTCTCTCTTGTACGTAAGATAATTAAAATCATACGTGACATATATCTTCTAGATGTCACCTTGTACATGTACCTAGGAGACAAGAAACAGCACCATGCTTGTGGCTAATTGGTGTGCAGCAGGATTGCAGCATATATTACTGACTGTTCGGCTGGTATTAAAGTCGACTAATAAATTGATCTTGACTAATTTATTATGAGAAAAAAAATATGATAAGCTCAAGCGAACGTACTGTAGCTAATTGGTGTGCAGCAGGATTGCAGCGTATACTACTACTACTGATGTAGTACTAGATGAGATGATACATGGGTACGGCGGGAGGAAGAACGAGGAGTCCTGGCCGGCTACATGCGCTGCACCTGGCTGCTGCTGGCTAATGATCCGGCCGGCTCTTTCTCTTTTTAGTGTGGGATGGGATGCTAATCCCCGCTTTGTTCTGTAAATTAATCATGAAACCAAGAATAAGAAATAAAGATAAGAAACGGAAAGTGCATAGGGCCCACCAGCCCGGGCTGGGGCGTCCAAGTACGCTGCATATGGGCGGGGCGGGCGACGTATACTGCTTGCTGGGAGCAAACGTTACGGGACGGAACCGAACGGGAACGGGAACGGGAACGGGACACGCATGCATGCAGTGCGGCGGGCGGTTGTGGGTGCCGTGAACCCAGGCCCGATTCCGGTGGGTACGCCGTACGCGTCCCGTCCCTGTGGATGGACGGCGCGAGCTGAGGATGGAAACCCTTCTCATGTGCTCGTGCTGCCCACATGGAATCCAGATTTATTTGTGTGCACCTTTGCGTATCCCGAATTACTACTTACTGGTTACTCCTCTTGTTCCAAAATATAAGTCGTTTTGATTTTTTAGTTCATCTATTTTGCTGTGTATAGACATATTATTATATCTAGATGCATAGTAAAATGGATGTATCAAAAAAATCAAAGCGGCTTATAATTTGAAACAAAGGGAGTACTATTTTTATGTTTCAGCTGTTCTCTTGAAAATACTCGTCTATTCTAAATTATAAGAGTATCTTCGAGAGATGAGCCATTCACCTTGCCATTATTGTTTACCTGAACAACACACAGAAACCGGTCTCCAACCTCGCCAATCTTATAAGCTCGCCATATCAGGCTTCCCAGCTTGGGAAATATGGCAATGTCGCGAGGCGCTTTACCTTGTTTTGCTTCAAAAACTTCATTTCTTCTCTCGTCTTTCAAAATTCAAAAGGTGGCTACATCAAATTTCTAAAATCATGCCAAATTTACAGCTGGTAGAATAAAGAACAGAGAACTCCTTTTAACTCGACTTAATTACCTCAAAATCACTTTCAAATTTTAAATTAAAAATAACCAAAACTGATTGTTTTAAAGTTATGTGAACTTTAGAACATTGATTTACTTATCAAAAAAATCAAGGAACATATATCGATTCTTATTATTTTGAATACCAATATCTATAGATCAGTAGGATACAGACAGTGCAATTTGGCTAGTTTGTTGGAGTGTATTGAAATAAAGAGGAGTAATCATGTGAAAATGGATAGCCAAATGAAGATATAAAGAGTGAAATTTAGACCATCTATTCGGTACACTATATAACTAAAAGAACTAAAATAACCTATAATTTGAATTGAGAAATTAGTATATATTACACCCACATTTTCACTGTGCTCTAAGTCAAGGGGAAAAAGAGCGATTCTAGAGGTAGAGAGAGAGAGTGGGAGCTAGGGGGAGTGGTGGCGGTGTGGCTGTGAGAGCGTGTGTGTGGATGGGGGGTATGGTTTGGGCCTTAGGTTTTATATTGGACTAACATTTTCACTGTTGATTTGTACTACAATGAAACATTCTTGGTTATCACATGGTTTGTAAATTTTAATCGTTGGTTCATAATAAGTAACAGGGCTGTGGTGTAGTATACAAACCAACGATGATAACTATCCTCGCTAGTTTTAACAAATTAGCGGTGAAAAATAGTATATAGCCACGTTGACAAGAAAATCGTTCCATACATATCCGTTATCCCGTCATGTTAATTTAGGGTGCCAAGTGCATACATTTATACTTGTATAAGTGAAATGCAAAAAAGGGAACAATGGCAGAAGAAAAGCACCGTGCATTTTTAAATTTGTTATGAATTCATCTAGATCCATAAACTTTTAAAGTGATTATCTGCTTTCTTTAACTTTTAAATTGGTTTATCCTAAGTTCATTATCTAATCATGAACCTAAATTTGTACACTTCAAATGAACCACTTTAAGAGTTCATAGACCTAAAAGAGAATGCATGGAAAGCTTAGAGACCCACATTGCAGTTCCCTCTTTTCACTTGCAATATCAAATGGAGTGGCTGATTATATTACGCGAACAGTAACCCGATTTGCATCAAATACCATCAACTGTTTTGAAACGCCAATGATTTTCAACTCCCAGCACAGCGCATCTCCTCTGCCTCGACAATGAGCCGGGGAGAGAAGATTCAATGAACCCAGCAGATCCGGCTGACAAGGAGTGGGGTACGAATTGCGCCCCAACTTGGGCAACTTGCCTTCCGGGTTCGCCACCACATAAAAAGCCGGCGCCACCGGGCACTCCTTCCCCACCGCACCACCACCACCTCCTCTTCCCCCAACCCGTCCGCCGTTCCCTTCATCCGGCTCCTACGCCATTTTTTCCCTGTCGCGGTAAGCGATAGGGTTCGGCGTCCGTCCTCTAAATCCGCCCTCGGATCCAGTGGTGCTGTTGCTTCTCATCCTCTTCTTCGCTTCGCTTCTTCCGGCGTTCTCGGAGCAAGCTTCGGCTTCGTCGACGGCGTTCTTGGTCTTTGGCGGCTCGACATGTCTCCGTTCCAGGGATACAGAGGTAAAGACCCTTGCTTTTGGTTAAGGTGTAAGATTTGTAGTTGCAGTTGTGGGGATTGGATTTCCTTTTGGTTTGTTCTTACCAGTCTTTGCCTCGTTTCTTGGATTAGGCGATGGGGTTCTCGCCGGCGTCCGGTCGCGGAAGCGCGTGTTCGCGACGGCGGCCGCTGAGCCCGTGACGGCGGCGCCCAAGAGACAGAAGCGCAGGGATGAGCCGTCCCTGGACGCGCTGCCGGACGAGTGCCTCTTCGAGGTCCTGCGCCGCGTGCAGGGCGCCCGCGCGCGCTGCGCGTCGGCTTGCGTCTCCCGCCGCTGGCTCGCGCTCCTCGCCGGCATCCGCGCCTCCGAGGCCGTGCTGGCCCCGGTCGCCCCCGCGGTGCCGGACCTCAACCACGAGTACCTCAGCGAGGACGACGAGGCCGATCTGATGGACCTCGACGGCGACGCCCGCGAGAGGACCCTCGAGGGCATGGAGGCCACGGACGCGCGGCTGACGGCGGCGGCCGTTGCCGGCCGTCTTGCTTCCGTCTCCGTCCGCGGGAGCCACCCGGCGCGTGGCGTCACCGACGCCGGCGTCTCGGCTCTCGCCCGCGGCTGCCCGGAGCTCCGCTCCCTTGCCCTGTGGGACGTTCCGCAGGTGACGGACGCCGGGCTTGCGGAGATCGCCGCCGAGTGCCACTCGCTGGAGCGGCTTGACATCACTGGCTGCCCTATGATCACGGACAAGGGCCTCGTCGCGGTCGCTCAGGGCTGCCCGGAACTGAAGTCGCTCACCATCGAGGCATGCTCTGGTGTGGCTAACGAGGGTCTCGAGGCAATTGGCCGGTGCTGCGCCAAGCTACAGGCAGTTAGCATCAAGAATTGCGCACATGTCAATGACCAGGGTGTGTCTGGCCTCGTCTGCTCTGCGACCGCCTCGGTGGCAAAGGTCCGGCTTCAGGGTTTGAACATTACTGATGCTTCTCTTGCCGTGATTGGGTACTACGGGAAGGCTATCAAAGACCTGACCCTCGCTCGCCTCCCTGCTGTTGGTGAGAGGGGATTTTGGGTGATGGCCAATGCCCTGGGCCTGCAGAAGCTCAGGTGTATGACTGTTGTCTCCTGCCCGGGACTCACAGATCTTGCTCTTGCATCTGTCGCCAAGTTCAGCCCAAGTTTGAAGCTTGTTAACCTCAAGAAGTGCAGCAAGATCTCAGATGGATGTCTCAAGGAATTTGCGGAATCATCTAAGGTCCTGGAGAATTTGCAGATCGAGCAATGCAGCAAGGTTACTCTTATGGGCATTCTTGCTTTCCTCCTCAACTGCAGCCCAAAGTTTAAGGCTCTCTCTTTGTCCAAGTGCATCGGGATCAAGGACATCTGCTCCGCACCTGCACAGCTTCCAGTATGCAAATCGCTTCGTTCCCTGACCATCAAGGATTGCCCAGGCTTCACGGATGCCAGCTTGGCTGTGGTGGGCATGATCTGCCCTCGGTTGGAGAATGTCAATTTGAGTGGTCTTGGTGCAGTTACCGACAATGGCTTCCTTCCATTGATGAAGAGTTCGGAGAGTGGCCTGGTCAATGTTGATCTGAATGGCTGCGAGAATCTCACGGATGCGGCTGTTTCCGCCTTGGTGAAGGCTCATGGTGCTTCTCTTGCACACCTTAGCCTTGAGGGATGCAGCAAGGTTACTGATGCAAGCCTGTTTGCCATCTCTGAGAGCTGCAGCCAGCTTGCCGAGCTTGATCTTTCAAATTGCATGGTCAGTGACTATGGTGTTGCGGTCTTGGCAGCGGCAAAGCTGCTCAAGCTGCGTATCCTCTCACTGTCTGGCTGTATGAAGGTCACCCAGAAGAGTGTTCCTTTCTTAGGCAGCATGTCTTCATCCTTGGAGGGACTCAATCTCCAGTTCAACTTCATCGGCAACCACAACATCACTTCCTTGGAGAAGCAGCTCTGGCGGTGCGACATCCTTGCTTAAGAGGAACAAGGCTATTAGTTGTTGGAGATGCTGGGTCAACCTTCTCCAGATGCAAATATACGACCGTAGCGGTAGTACTTCAGTCTAAGCTTTATAGTTGAGCCTGGTTTCCGGCTCGTGTTTGTGTCATGGTGGGTCTCCTGTTTGTCTTAGGGTCGGTTGTTTTCCTAGGGGGCGTTTTTGCCGAGGCTTGTTTTTTTGCAGGTATCCTCCTGTGAGGATCTCTGTTCGTTGAGCTTTGGCAGCCATTACCATGGCACCCTGCCCTCTCCATCCCAACCTAAGCCCTTGTGATCAGTCATTCCACCATGCAGTTTCTCAAGTCGTGTTTGAAGCTCAAGTATTTGTTAAGTGTGTGTTCTTTTCCAGTACTCCTGGTTATAGAGTTGCAGACATCAACACTCTCTTTTGATTGCATGTGATTGCAAGTCCAATTGTGGTGTCGTCATTCAGAGAAACTTAGCTCCATGTCTTTGATGTCTGTGTCTGCAGTCTCGCCGAGTGCAGTGTGTTGTTGGTCATGTTGCTATTGTACAGTGTCGGTAGGGTCTGCCAATGTACTTGGGGATCTGGCCTTTACAAGGTTCACTAGTCCTTTAGGCGCGCGCATGGGCGCGCGGTGCACGGGCCTCACATATTTTTTTTTTGAGAAAAGAAAAGAAATAATGAAAGGTGGACTGTTTTTTGATTTGAGAAAAATCAGAGGATGTTTTCGCAAAAAATGATGAGAGTGTCTATGGAGCGCGGGTTGAATTTCGATAAAGTGGAGGTCTTTTTTGCAAACAAACCATTGCGCATCCATTCTGGATCGCGCGTCGATTTGGAAATAACCTGAGGCGTTTTTTGTAAAAACATCTGAGAGGACGTCTGGAGCACAGGTTGATTTCTGAAAACTGAAAGGTGTTTTTCGTAAAACTATCACGGCTCGCCCGATCTGGACCGTCCGCGCGGCCGATCGAACGGCCATGAAATAACAGCGACGTGGACGCGCTGGCTGAGCGAGCTGGCCACAACGAATCATATCTTTAGATTCTACAGAGCCTTTGCCTTGACAACCCTGTGTGGTTGTTTTTCTTCTCCAGAGACCTGATTTTTCAGGCAGGTGGTTTGAACACTGTAATATTTGCAACATTCATCTGAAGATAAATAAAGGTTGTGTTTCGTTCCGAGTCCTGTGCCTTGTGATCCAATCATGGTGTTATACTTGTACTGTCCCCTGAATCCCTTATAGGTAATCCTGTTTATATGGCTTTGGAATTTCTATGTGTATTGTGTGAGTGACCCTCCTGTGATGAGCAGCGCTGCTGCCTTGTTTGACTGAGCCGGCCAGGAGCCCAGGACTTATGCGGTTATGCATTCAGTCATGCTTGGCTTCTAAGATAAGATGGCCCTATTAGAACTGAACTGACTGGTGAGGTTGTGTCATGCTTGGCAATACGAAATGGAGCTAAAGGCCTACTTGGATGCAGGCAACTCCTGGATTACCAAGAATAATTTTTTAGTATCCATTCAAGTGTCCCTGAATTGGCGTTGCTGGCCTGTCCAGTGCACCAGTTGCCCTCTCGGCAGCTGCCAAACAAGCACCTACTGTATTGACCAGGCGACCATGTTCATCCCCCTCTGCCCTTTCTCTCGCCGGTCGCTGCGTCCTGTGCCGTGCAGTGCTGCTCCCCTGGACTGACGACTCCTTCCGTAGTTCATGCACTTGGCCCCTTTTCTGAATTCTGATGCCGCGAAAACCGGCCCTGCGTCACCGGCGTGACGTGAGGACTAAAAAAAACCATGGCGAGTCGTGTCTTTGAATAAAGGTAGTACACGCTTTTGCATTTCATGAGGCTTTTGACGACGTTTGGGCAGGGAGGGCCAGGTTCATCTGAACTCCAGAGCTGGGGGCTGTGGTGGAGGACGTGACAACAAGTCTGGCACTTGTCGAGCATAGTAGTTGAGGACTTGAGGGCGGCCCTGTTTAGCGGAGGAGCAGCTAGCCACGCCTTGCTTGAGGCAAGAAAGATCAGAGGCGTATGGCCGTAGTGAGCCCCACCGGTGATCTCGATCGCAAAGCATCAGCAACTGATTTGTTGGAGGAAGCCGAGTTTAGCAGGATCGTACCCTACAAAGTGGACATCAAGAAACGTGATTCCCATTGAGGTCCACTAGTGCTCGCCTTGGTCATCGTCATCGACTGGTGATTTGTATTTCATTTTAGCCGATGCGCAGTAGGGTTTGACATCCAATTTGTGGTTTGTGTACTCCATTAGGTATATACTTTATCCGTTTCAAATTATAAGTCGCTTTGACTTTTTGTTATATCAATTTTGCTATGCATCTAGATAAATAATATGTCTAGATACATAGCAAAATGGATGACCAAAAAGTTAAAACGATTTATAATTTAGAACGAAGGGAGTACATGGTAGCATTTGAACTCGAAATCTTTAGTCCTAATAATAAGTTTGTAAAAAGAGCTAAAATTAAAAAAAAAATCACAAAGTCTTCACCATAAACATGTGCCCACAACACAAAGTGCATGGTACATTATTACATGAAATCAAGACTTCGTTTTTAAATATGTATCAAAGGCGGCGATACTTAGGTTTGTGTTCCACTTATTTAGTTTATGACTAGTGTAAATGGTATGTACTTGTAGCTGCAATCTGCAGCCAAATCATCCTAAAAAAACATTCCAAAAGCCACAAGAACATTGTCCAAAAGCATAGTAAGAGGCGATTACAAGAAGCCCGCATATATCCTTGAGCTCCTATGCTTCACCTCTAGTTCTCTATATTTCTTTTTCCTCTCTAATTTCTTCTTCCTCCTCCCCCTCCCCCTTGTTCATTGATGCACCTCTGGAGTTTCCCCTCTTGAGTATATAGGAAATCAAAAAATAACAATTTCCATCTTATGTGATAGACTTAGGTCCCGTTTGGTTGAGTTGTGGCTTCTGGAAAAAGCAGTTGTGGGCTATGGAAAATCTGCTGTAGGATGTGAGCTGTGAGAAAGTTGAAAGCCGTTTGATGAAACAACTATGGTTTTTGGAAACACTTACGAGCGGACCCCGCATGTCATTCACATCCACCTCACTTAACTATCTCCCTCCGTCACCGACGAGCGGGCCCCACTTGTCAGCATCTTCTTCTTCCTCCCGGCGATACACATATTGATAGGAGCCTCATCGGTGGTCGGGGGCCTCGCCAGCGCATCTCACGCGTGGCAGCGGTGGAGCTCGTGCTCCCGCGCCAGAGGTCTTGCCCGCGCCGGAGAAAGGAGGGAGGGTCGTCGAAGCTCGTGGAGAAGCGGGTAAGGGTTGCCAGAGAAGGGACGGAGGGTCACTGGCGCTCGCTCACCTACGCCAGAGCTTGCAGGGTCACCGAAGAAGAGAGGTGCGGCATTGTTTCCTTGAGCGCGCGCGTCCGTACTCGCCGATGAGAGAGGAATCGGGAGAAAGAAACAAACCGGTACGCATCATAACTAGTGGCAGGTGGGTAATTTTTGTGAAAATTTGGAAGCCACAGCAGGTGAAGAAGGGGTGAGGGTGCTGAAGGACACGTGGACGCCTAAGAGGGGGGGGTGAATTAGGCAACTTAAAAATCTAACTCTAATCTATGGCCTCTTTTTCTACCTCTAGCAAAACCTATGCAAAAAATAATCTATCTAGATGTGCAACTACGGTTTTACTAGTGTGTTGCTATCTCTACCGCAAATGATAATAATATGATCAATGTAAATGCGTAATTTTAAAGAGCAAGGTAGAGATATGCAAACTCCTATCGACGACTCCGGTATTTTTACCGAGGTATCGAGAAGCGCGCAAGCTTCCCCCTAGTCCTCGTTGGAGCCCCTCGCAAGGAATCCCTCGCAAGGGCCAAGCTCCCGGTCGGGTAACTCCGTGGATAGCCTTGGGCCTTCCCCACGCGCAAGTGGGTCTCCGATGTGCCTTCCGGTAAGCCTCTCCCGGATGCTCTCCGCCATCTTCACTATCAAGATTTCGGCCGAAACGCCGCGGGCCTTGTTCCCTTCGGTACACGGTGGCGGCCGCACCACAAACGCGGTTGGTGCGATCTCGCAAGACTTCAAGCCCCTCCGATGTACAACTCTTGTGCTCGCAAGCACGGGGTGGCAAGAGGTATGCAAACCTCACTAAACACTAGGCAAACACCTAGAGCAAGCGCATAAGCAGTGGTCTAATCAACCTAAGCACTTCGCAAAGCACTTATGCTAATCACCTGATGAAACACTAATCACTTAGCAAGTGGAGATCACTAAAATGATGTATCAACACCCTAGATATGTTTCCTCAGCTCCACACTACTCAAATGGCTGGTTGGGGGTTGTATTTATAAGCCCCACTGAGAAAGTAGCCGTTGGGGTCGAACTCCCGCAAAACTGCTACTGACCGGACGCTGAATCGTCCTGATCGGACGCGTCCGGTCGTCCCGACCGTTGCAGCCGCGAACTACCGATCGGATGCTGCCAGCGTCCGGTCGCCTGCCACCGGACGCGTCCGGTCGCAGTTTCGCGCCCCTGGAACCTCTCTGTACTCGATCGGACGCTGCGTGTCTGCGTTCGGTCGGTTGCCGCCAGCATCCGGTCCTTGCGTCCGGTCGCCTGTCTGCCGAGCCACCGGTCCAGCGTCCGGTCCAGCGTCCGGTCGCCTCTGCGAGCTCGTTTCTTCGCGATCTTGCGTACGGCTTGGTTCCTATCTTCATGCTTGGACTTTGCTTGATATCTTGGGTCTTTTCTTGTGCTTCTAAGGTCTTGCTTGAGGTGTTGATCATCAGATCATCACGTCGCCTTCGTCCAAGTCACGTCTTGCACCCTATTGGACTACACAACAAACACTTGCAAATTCATTAGTCCAATTCGGTTGTGTTGGTCATCAAACATCAAAATCCAAAGTAAATGAGCCAAGGGTCTATTTTCCTTACAGGTGCTATATATGAATATTTGTACTAGGCAAAAGCTGCTTTTGGCTATGACTTTGGATGGAAGCCAATCCATTTGGTTGGCTTTGGTTTTTGGAAAAGCAAAAGCAGGTTGGAAAGCCTAACCAAAAGGGTCCTTAGTGGTAAAAAAAAGTGCAATGATTGTTCAGATGACCTTTTGCCACTCTTTTGATGTGAAGGACAACATTAACCGCACAGAGGGAACATAAAATCGAGGAAAATTTGCAAAAACTGCATATACATATGAAAAAGAATGCCAAAATACTTCTTTGTTCTCTATAAAAAATCATCTATGCATCATGTACAAATTATAAAGACTAAACTTTTGGGCACATAGCATTAACTACACCATCATCTACTACGGTGATAAGCTTGCCAGATGTAGTCAAAGTTTTGCTTTTTTGCTGATTTTTATTACAACTTTACATTTGATCCTTAGCGAAAATAATTGTTAGAATAGAACCCAATAACGTGCCAAGTTATATGGCACTGAGGGTACATAGCATGACACCATTTAATTTGGTGCCATGTGTTTGATATGTGTATCCTACTTGTGATGATCAATCAAGACGATGCCAATGGTCATGACATCATAATGACCCCCTATGGATATCTAATCCAAACCAAACTTAGAGAGAGGTGCTTCTTTAGATGTCTAAAAGCAATGTCATGTAACCCTTACACTCACAAACAAACACACCCAAGAAAAAACTTAGTCTAAAGGTTCTATTCTACAAGGGCTGAACCTACCACAAGAGGATAGGGACCACAAGCAATTGAATGAAACTAACCTTGAAAACCTCACTGAACACAACCGGCCTAGCTAGTTTGGTGAAACTTGCTTGCCTAAGTCAAATCCACCATCATTTGCCTAAGTCAATGGAACCTCACACTAAGCCAATGGAACAACGTGAATCTCAACCCCTTCATGTGTTGTGTTGGTGACCCAACTAGCAGCGAGTTGTTTAGTTCAAATGCAATCCTAGGAGTGGAGAGATCCCACAATACCTTCTGCACAAACAAAGTCTAAGGACTTGACTTCAGAGTCTATCATCATAATCGACCCAATATTTTAAATTGCAGGACGTGGCATTTAGGTACCTGCCTCTTCAAATAGCCAATCTCTGGCAAAATCAGGCTATAGTGGCTAGATTATACATGGGAGCAAATAGCTATGCCCTACTCCAACAAGTATAGATAACGGCAACTATAGTTGGAGATTCAAAACCATTAATATATCAAGACCAACCTCTTAATTAGTGGTCCCTTTGAGATTCAAAATCAATCTGTCCATTGAAGCCCTTTTTCCAATCAAGCGATAATACCACCAAATAACGTGTGAGCCTAAAGAGCAATGTGACGGATCAGGATCCTATGGGTTCCCCACTGGGCCGACTACTCGGTGTAATCCTGGGCCGGCCCAAGGTCCGCTTGAAGATACGGAACAAGGTGGCGTGATCTCCAAGTAAACAAGGACCAACCTAGTCGGACATTTAGCAAAAATAGTCTCTATAATAGAACTAGGATTTTCCAATTGTAACCAACTAGGACTAGAACAGGTACCCTGCCCTCTGGACTATATAAAGAGAGGCAGGCGGCACCCCTTGTAGACACCAATAAATCAAACAATCCAACGCAAAGGCATCACGCTGCACTGGACGTAGGATATTACGTGCATCGCGGCCTAAACCAGTATAAATCGCTTGTCTTAGCGTTTACCGCCGAGTTCTGCATACGCCGAAGCCCTCCAAACTCTGTCCTGGGTAACCCCGTGACAGGTTGTTGGTCGTCAAACACCGACACAATGACACCTCCTACTTTACCTCAAATTCAAATCCCCTGTTATATATCATTTCTATTCATAGTAGCACCACAATGCAATGCCACTTGTTTATCCATCTACTAAGTATATCACAAACACAAAAGGAACTCATCAATACATATATGCATTGACGAAATCTCTAGTTGCCAGCAAGGGTTTCCTCTACTGTATTCCCCTAAAAAACGAAATCTAGTTGCAACAAGACAAGCAACCATTGATACTATTGATAAAAATGTCTCAATTTAACGATATAAAGCTACAAACCCAAGCACCACTTATAATCCAATCTCAGTAATCAATAATTCATACTGGCCGTTATCTTCATTTTCTACAAAATTTTCCTAACATAAACCAATATCATTTTCATTCATGAAATATGCATATATATCGTGCGTAAAGGAACCAAAACCTTGGCCCTCAAAAGGACCACCCATTGTTCATCAATCTCCAACACACCCAACACACGTTCACGGTATTCTCCTACCCCAAATCTAGGGCGTATCTATGAAATTAGCAACTACAGGGTGCAAGAAATGAATGTAATACATCTCCATAGACCAATATATGAAGCATCTACAACACCTTTTGGAACTCTAACCAAATCATATCAAAATATTTTTTGGTCTAGGGTTCAGATTAGGGTTTCCCAAAATGTTGACCAAATCAAGAAAAAATATTGGAATAAATAGAGTAAGGTGAGGGAGGCCACTTGCACGTGATTGAAACCCACTTGAATTGAGCCCGTTTTGAGGGAGGACCGGACGAGGGGGTTCAGCCGCTCTCTGTTTACAACAGATAATACACGCATAGAGGGCACGAAGGAGTTGCAGGCACACAGGCAGTTAAGTCCCCAAGCACGGCGCTATGGGGTGCAGCGTCCTGACATAGAGCACGATGCTAATGCATACGGTGTTGTGCACCACAACATTGGGGGCTTACCAAGTCCGATGCACGTCGCAGAAATACGACGCCATCAGCCCATCACATCTATCCTCGGCACGGTACTGAGCGTCCAATTTTGCATAACCTTTTGCCATGGGTCCAAATGTAAAATGCCATAGAGAAGGGGCAGAAATTTGCCTCAGATGTAGTCATGTAGAGAGTGTTGCGTCCTTCAGGTATTTACACCATCTGGCATATGGTGGCATGATCACATGAGCCAGCTTGTTTACTGGATGCAAACAACGATTCTACCTGACATTTCAGGTTACTGCTACATACAGCTGCACAACTGGAGCTATATAGACTATCTACAATTAAAAAAGGGGGCAGACCCAGTGCCGGAGGCTCCCACGTGAGTGGGGTCTGAGGAAGGGAAAAACCGAGGCAAGCCTTCCCCCGCAAAATCTGCAGAGAGGCTGCTTCGAACCCGCGACCTGGTGACTCAGTGAAACAGCTCTCACCACTGCACCAGGCCTGCCCTTCACAGACTATCTACAATTGCGCTACTAAAATATACAAACACCTGGTGCAGTAAGCTGCTTCGTCTGATCTAATAAAGACTCAGCTATGGTACATACATCGCCTGCGAAAGCAGCTGCAGAAACCATCACGAATCCCAGGTCCACGAGCAATGCTAGATTTAACAGAAGCTCCCCCTCTTCTGACGGCTAGGAATCACGTCTCTTGTCGGTGCCTCTACAGTAGATTAGCGCTGGGCTAGCAAGTGGTCGTCCTCAGCAGCGTAGATTTCGCAGAAACTTCAGTTGGCCTCCAGATTATGCTGTCAAGTTTGCTGCATAGGTTCTTGTAAAACTGCAGTTGGTTTAAGATGCAAGTTAGCAATCATTACAAGACTCAAATCACAAGGCATAATGGAGAAAGAATGCTTAGACTAGTACTTATTTAATGCCCTGCAACATGATTAGTGCAAGGATAGCATGCAAACAGAACAGACTCTCAAATCACAACGCAGAATGGGAAAAAATCATTTAAACAAGTACTTAGTTAATGGCCAACAACATGATTAGTAAAAGGATGAGATACAAACAGAACAGACCATGTGGTATTCCAGAGTGTCACCGGCAACCTTTCGAACATCAACCATGAACAGCGAAGGAGCAACTTCAAAAACCTGATTCAAGTGCACTTCAAAGCATGAAAATGATTGCATAACATTTTGTAAAGACAAGTGACCAACTAATGCGCTGCATGACTTCACCTCTAGAACAACAGCAAATTGGCTCATTCTGTTTAATGCTGCACCTTCAAGCCGCAGCTGCAAAGTTAGTAAATATGTATCAGTACATGGAGATAAACAAAAGCTAAATGTTTATCCAGCAGATATTTTTTGAAGCAACGTTTCAAGTGTACCTTGTAATTCTGGGAATGGACCTTGAGACCCATTGACTCAGCAACAACTTCAATTGTAGCTACTATAGTCTTACCTGGTTTTCTTGAGACAAAACGTGTTTGCCGCTTGACAAACTCCTACAAAAAAAAAATCCATGTGATGCAAGAGGCATTAGATAGACCAAATAATAAGCCTGTTATCCATAAGCATTGAGATATGTGTACAGCAAATTCCGACCGCGTATTAAGGAGATAATGAAACAAATGAAGAGAACACAAAAGGATCAATGTCTACATATAGATAAAATGAAAAGTAGATCTGCTACATGAATTAATCACGGATTCCTATAGAGATATCAATTGCAGCAGGCAAATACTTTTCGACACTGGACAAGTTGTTTTAAAATTTTAAATATGAAATAGTTGCTTAAATCTTGTTCCTAATGAGATATTGAATTGTTTGGTTCAGTTTTGCTACTGAACTATGCCTGGTTGCTCAAAACTGTTAGTTGAGTGTTGCTCAAGTCTATTATTGTGTCACTGAAATGTGTGACAGTGTTAGCTCGGTTCTCGAATATTGTAAGATGGAATTCCCAGTCTGTCACATAGTATTTTGTTTTCAACATAAGCAGGGCCAAGGTTTCTTCTCTGTTCCCAATTAATTGTTTAATGTTGAATCTGTATCGATCAATTAGGATAATTAAATACTCGCAAAAAAAGGATAATTAAATAACTTTCCATACAAGAACAAAAAGGAAAAGAGAAGGGAAAATAGCTCAGGTTACATCGTCTTTGTTAAAGAGGAAATATACTACAAGTTTATTTTATTTCTTGTGGCTACTTTATGGAAAATGGGGGAGTAGGAAACACCGGCAAAACATCAGGTAGCGCAGATGAAGTGGTATAAAATATTACTTGATGGGAAAAGGAGCCAATAGGTTAAATTCAAAACTTTTCACATGATTGTCACACGAACACTTCAATCTTCATTGTGTGCTAAGTACAGCATAATGTTAAATGGCTGTCATGTATGGCCCATTAGGGTCCATCCGATGTAGCAGCCACAGTGCTAGAAACGGCGCACTGATAATGAGTGTTCAAACAGAAAATAGGTGGCACTGTTGACGGTAGCTCTATTTAGAGATAATAGCGTATGTGGGCTCGTTCCAGGTGAGGAGCTGGCCGTAAGCAAATTTTGGACACGGGGTGCTACAATTAGATTGAGTCATTCATTCCCTTAATTTGAGATATTAGTTTCTTAATGGTCAAGACAACTCATCTACAAAAGGATGGGATTGTATCTCTTTTTATTAAGTAATCTCCTGTATCCCTTTCCTTGTGACGCGGCTGCCAGACATCAGGTTGTGCTGCTTGGGTTCAGGGTTATCTAAAGTATGCCCATGACAATGGTCCACTATGCTGAGTAAAAAGAGTTGCAAAGTACCTGTTGCCTATCAAACAAGGCTGAGAGATCCAAACCTTGAGATAGTGTAATCATCTCAAAGGCATTCATCATAAGAGGACAACCATCCTTGTGAGTTACTTCCTCAGATACATACTTGTCCTGAGAAAAAAGAAACATAGTATAAAATCAATATTAGAAGGAAAAACAACTTCAAATGGACAATAGAACCTTAGGGATCTTTCTGGTGACTCTGACCAATTTCTCACAAACCTCAATATTGTCAAAAACAGCTTGAACATCATCCAGGCTGACATTTTCATCTTCACCACATCTAATAGCTACATAGTTCTTCTCAAACCATGGGTCTGCTCTTATTTCTTCAATAGTGATACGCTGGAAAGAAAGCGCAGAGACAAGAGAAACTGATACCATCAATTTATTTGTGAATACAGATGACTGAAATGCTACATATTAGGTAAAAGATGCTTTGCAATAAATGTATATAATTTTTTGTGGAAAGTTCTTATATTGATCTTGTATATGGGGTTTCCCAAACACATGTCAGAATATCAATATAAACAAATATATGATAAAATACTTGTAAAGAGTTTCGCACACTATAGGCCGAAAGTAACAAGAGTAACTGATGATCAACATCTTCTGAAAGCTTAAAGTTACACGAAAAACATTGTTTAGAATCAAAATACTAGAAGATGAAATGAAACAAGTTTGTGCTTTTACTTACAGTTCTTGGATTTGGGTCAAGTATTCTCTGGATCAATGACTTGGCTCCTGGAGAGAACCAATATGGGCATGAGTACTGAGTTGCAGTTATCTTGAAATACAAAAGATGAGGAGAGGGGTTTCAGTGTTAGATGAGCCAAGTAATTGTGCAAATCAACAATTTTAGGAGACAGGGAGATATTCAAAATTTCACACTTGAAAAGAAGCTGATACCTTTTCATACAAACTTGGAAGGTCATTCTCCTCAAAGGGAAGGTAACCAGCCATTAAAACATAAAGAATGACACCACATGACCAAATGTCTGCTGCAGATCCGTCATATCCATTGCTACCTAGCACCTAAAATAGTGATCCAAGTTAGAGTATATAGAATATTATATGTACTGAGACACTCACGATTTTATCTGAAAATGATGTCAAAGATAAGGACAGTGACAGACACAACTGACACTAGTGAAGAACATGCAACTAACAACAGCTTAGAATGAACATGGCAAAAGGAATCTGCAGCTTTTCATTATAAAAGAACAGCATCCTTCATAACTCCTCCTGAATCTGACCCTCACATCAATCGTCAAGGAACCCTCTAACTTATTATGCATATATTTTGTCACAGATTTTCTTGAAAGAAAGCTCCTGCTTTGTTCAAAAGATAATCTTAAAAGATCATTCTTTTTATTTTTTGTTTGATCTTGTTTCAATAGAGAGCATTTCACCCTCCATACATGTTTACACCACTTAGTAATTTTAAGTGCAATCCGTACCTCAGGAGCAACATAATTTGGAGTTCCACATGTCGTGTGAAGGAGTCCCTACTCCCTGGGGGAAGCTCATTATTAGCGCATTAAATTAAATCATTAATATAAGTCAGCAGTACAGCAATAGAAATCAACAAACTTACATTCTGAGACAGTGTGCTAAGTCCAAAATCAGAAACTTTTAAGTTTCCACGTGAGTCAAGAAGCAGATTTTCAGGCTACAGAACAATGCCCAAACTGTCAGTGTAATAAGATAGGTAATTAATGAATAGCTAAAATAATACTTTCATCCATTATCAAAGAGAGACCTTCAAATCCCTATGATAAACTCCTTTGCTGTGGCAATAATCAATGGCATCAATAAGCTGCTGGAAATACTTCCTGGCTTCATTCTCACGTAGCTTCCCATGGCGGACCTACAAATATTTGATGTTATCCGTTACCATTGATTTATATTTAAAAAATGATTTAGGAACCTGGAACCATGTGAGCTATGTGTGTGCACCCCTCACCACCCAGGTTCAGGTCTTCTCCATCTCAAATTTGGGTCCCTAACTCCCTATTTCTTCTTAACATTAAAGTCACCTAGATCCTTCTAGGATCATGGAGTTTTTTAATTCACGAAAGGAAATGTCATGGAGATTCTTACTATTTTATCAAACAGTTCACCTCCAGTGACAAGTTCCAAGATTATGTATATCTTTGTCTTCCCGGCCAACACCTACAAAGTAATAAAAATGCGTGTAAAGAAAGGAAACCAGGTGATATAGAGGGCTATAATTTGTAGGAATACAGTTTTAGTATAATACGATTAGATAGGTAAAACAGAGAACTGTAAGCACCGTTATGGCAAACCACATACCTCATTAAGCCCAACTATGTTGGGATGTCTTACGATCTTCATGATTGATATTTCCCTTTTGATCTGGCAGCAAACAAGTAGTAGCTCACTGGAGCATGGAAACCAAAAAAACTTCATATTTTTTAATAAACTGACAAAAGATATTTGGTTAACTGGTAAAAGGTAATCCTCAATTCTTGAGAGAGAGAAAGAGAGAAGGAAGATACTGTTTTGTGGGCTTGGAGTATTTTGATGGATGCAAGACTCGATGCTTTCCATTGCTAGTGATTCTACTTTGGCCGGTAGTAATTGTTGGTATCACAACATATTAAACCTAAAATGCAGATCTCTGTTGCTGTCATTGGAATATGGTCTAAAGCTGTCGAAAAAGAAAGTGATGGTGATCGGGCTGGACAGATTTTTCTCTTTTTAATCATTGGAAATAACGAATGTCCAGACTCGTATAAACAGAACCTGCGAAATGCCAAAATGGCTTAATCAACCTAGCCAACGCTAATCGCACAAGATACTAGGATGGTCGTTCCCGCGCCGGCGCGGGCCCGGGGCTGCTCCCGGAGGCGCAGTTCGCGGCGTTCGTGAGGCGGCACGGGCGGCGGTACTCCGGGCCCGAGGAGTACGCGCGTTGGCCGCGCGTGTTCGCGGCCAACCTGGCCCGCGCGGCGGCGCACCAGGCGCTGGACCCGACCGCGCGCCACGAGATCACGCCCTTCTCCGAGCTCACGCGGGAGGAGTTCGAGGCGTGCCTCACGGGCGTGCGCGCCGGTGGGGACGTACAGCGGCTCGTGATGAGTGGAGCGCCGGCCTTGCAGGAGGAGGTGGCGCGGTTGCCCGCCAGCTTAGACTGGCGCGACAAGGGCGCCGTCACCGGCGTCAAGATGCAGGGCGCGTGTGGGTCGTGCTGGGCGTTCACCACGACGGGCGCGGTGGAAGGCGCCAACTTCCTCACCACAGGGATTACTGTGTGGCTCGCGTTGGTATATTCGGCTTGGTCCCGCACCGGAATTCGGCGACTTTTTCCGACGGAACATTCGACGATTCCGCCTTGTATGTGCCTATAGGCAGCTCGTCCGGGATCGAAATTTTAAAGGCAGCTTAATTAAATCCAGCGAAAATGGCTTTTCTCGAAAAAGAAAAATTAAAAATCAAGCTCAAACGTGCAGTATAGGAATCCAATTTGACATGGGGAGCGCCTCCCTGAAAATGGGGAGCGGATGAGGACGGACGGATGAGGTACCTGGTGGAGCATGTGGTGGGTGAAGATGGTCTCCTTGTCGAGCACCTTCATGGCGACGGCCTTGCCGGTGTCGGCGTCGACGGCGAACTTGACCTTGGCGAAGGTTGGCCGATGGTCCGGCCCACCTCGTAGCGGCCCACCCGCTTCTTCCGCCCCGCCGCGCCCGCCATTCCTCCCTCCTGCCCATCCGCCGCCTGGTCCTCCTTGCCCCGCGGCGGTGGCCGGTGGGGTTGGGTTTTGGCTCACGCCCGCCCGCGCGCTCGTGTTTGTGCACGGCGACAACTGAGGCCCCTTTGGATAGGAAAATTATAGAAATAGGAAAATCGTAGGAAGTGAGGTGGGCTCGTTTCTCTAATCTTAGGCTGCGTTTAGTTCGCCCGACTCTGCGCCGGTCGAAACACTGCAGCGATACTGTAGCTACAGTGTCGTTTTGTTTTTATTTGGTAATACTTGTCCAATCGTTGAGTAATTAGGCTCAAAACGTTCGTCTCGTAAAGTACAACAAAATTGTGTAATTAGTTTTTGATTTTGTCAACATTTAGTACTCCATACATGTCTTTGTAAAATTTGATGTGATGGAGAATCTTCTTTTTGCATAGTGCCAAAGTTTAAAATTGAGGGCCTCGTTTAGTTCCGCCGAATTTCCGCCGGTAGGAACACTGTAGCGGCATTGTAGCTACAGTGTTGTTTGTTTTTATTTGATAATAATTGTTAAATTGTTGACTAATTAGGCTTAAAATGTTCGTCTCGCAAAGTACAACCAAACTGTGCAATTAGTTTTTGATTTCGTCAACATTTAGTACTCCATATATCTACCATAAATTTGATGTGACGGAAAATCTTTTTTTTGCATAGTGTCAAATTCTAAAATCGGAGAGACTAAACGCGCCCGGGAGAAACTAAACATGGCCTTATAATCTTACAGGAATGAAAATACTTGAGGAGGCCTTTGAATGAGCAAAGAAAAAACACAAGAATGTTAAAGAATTTTTTTAAGATAAATAATATTTCTTTCTTTAATTCCATTTTACTCTCTTATTAGGCGCCACCAACAACCATTAGTCCATTAAGTGCTTCGTTCCTAGTGCACAGGATTTTTTCCACGAGCACCAAGTGGATTCTTTTATAAATTTTTTTCTGTGTGCCATTATAAAAGATCGTAATTATATACGTGCTTTTAGAAAAATTCAACGGTCTTTAGTGCCACTACTCTAACTTTTTCGTGTCCTCCATATGTCACTTCCGTCAGTTTGGGCTCTAACGCCGTCAAACTGCAGGTGTGAAAAAACGAAAATACCCTTAAGTCTAAATATATTATTAATTTTTTTTGAGTATCTTAATGACTTCAAATAAAAAAACTCAAAACTACAAAGTTGTAGATCTCGTCGAGATCTATAATTTTTATATAAAATTTATTTTTATTTAATTTCACAAAAATGATGATTTTTCTAAGATATATTAATCATATCAAATCACCTTTGTCCAAACTGATATGGACCAGCAAGATTTACCTACTAACTAAATACCTCTATATATATGATATGGACACATATCTTAAGCTCACTATGATCAGCAACAAATAATCAATACAAACAATGATCATAATGCACTTGTTTCTTATGTTAAAATATTTTAAGCACAATATTTATACTTTTGCAATTCATTTCTCCTATCCATACTAGTTTATCAATCAAGGTGTGCTATAGTTCAAACCATGTTACGAGAATCAAGTATATTTAGCTCGCTACAGAAAGCACAAAACCTTGACTCATCAAGAGGCTTAGTGAAGATATCGGCTAGTTGCTTTTCGGTGCTCACATGATGAAATTTGATATCTCCATTGGCTTCGTGGTCTCTCAAGAAATGATATTGGATATCTATGTGCTTAGTTCTTGAGTGGCTTACAGGATTATTGGCTAACTTTATGGTACTTTTGTTGTCACACAAGAGTGGGATTTTTGTGAAGTGTCATCCGAAATCTTGAAGGATTTGCCTCATCCAAAGTAGTTGAGCACAACATGTACCGGCTGCAACATACTTGGCCTCGACGATGGAAATGGCTACACAATTCTACTTTTTAGAACTCCAAGACACTAGGAACCGTTCAAGGAATTGACATATCCCCAAAGTGCTTTTTCAATCTACTTTGCAACCGGCGTAATCGGAATCCGAATACCCAAGTAGATCAAACTTAGAGCCCTTAGGATACCACAAGCCAAAGTTAGGAGTGTGTACTAAATATCTCAAGATTCTCTTAACGGCCACTAAGTGACACTCTTTCGGGTTAGCTTGAAATCTAGCACACAAGCACACACTAAGCATAATATCAGGCCTAGATACTCACAAATAAAGTAGAGAGCCAATTATGGAGCGATATACCTTAGTATCCACGGCTTTCCCTTCATCATTGAGATCTAGATGTCCATTGGTTGGCATGGAAGTTTTGATAGGCTTGGTATTCACCATGTCAAACTTCTTGAGCATATCATGGGTGTACTTCGTTTGGCTAATGAAAGTTCTATCCTTCACTTGTTTGATTTGAAATCCAAGGAAGAACTTTAATTCACCCATCATGGACATCTCAAATCTCTTGGTCATGATCCTACTAAATTCCTTATAAAAAGAATGATTAGTACTAACAAATATTATATCATCGACATATATTTGGCACATAAATATATCTTTGCTAACTTTGTGAGTGAAAAGGGTAAGATCGTCTTTGCCTATTTCAAAGCCTTGTTTAAGCAAGAATTCCTTAAGGCATTCATACCATGCTCTTGGTGCTTGCTTAAGCCCATAGAGCACCTTTTGGAGTTTGTAGACATTGTTGGGAAACTTGAGATCTTCAAAGCTCGGTGGTTGCTCAACATAGACAAGTTCTTGAGTAGGGCCGTTGAGAAATGCACTCTTCATATCCATTTGATATAACTTAAAGTTGTGATGAGCGACATAGGCTAGAAGCATTTGAATTGCTTCAAGTCTTGCCACCGGTGCATATGTTTCTTCAAAGTTCAAGCCCTCTACTTGAGTGAAACCTTGAGCAACCAACCTTGCCTTGTTCCTTGTCACCACTCCATTCTCATTTTGCTTGTTGCGGAAGACCCACTTGGTGCCAATGACATTAGTATTGAGTCATTCCACCAAAGTCCACACTTGGTTTCTTTCGAAGTTATTGAGCTCTTCTTGCATGGCCATCACCCAATCCGAGTCTCCAAGTGCTTATTCTACCTTAAGAGGCTCCAAAAAGGAAACAAACGAGTAATATTGACAAAACTTTGCTAAATATGAATGAGTTGTTACCCCCTTTCGAAGACTCCCAAGGATGTTATTAACGGGATGATCCCGTTGTATTATTTGCCTTAGCCTTGAATGCTCAATGGCCCATTGTTCATCTTCTAAATCTTCATCATCATCTTGCTTAAATATGGGTTGTAGGTTTTATCCACGAGCTAGAGTCAAATCAACTACTGTTGACTGTGTAGGTGTGGCACTGCCGCCCTCAAGTGCGGCACTGCCGTGCTCTGGAGTTGAAGCAAGTGTTTATTGTAGTGTAGCATCAGGTAAGTCAACGGAAATTAGTGCAGCAGCAACTTGAGGAACCTCCACTTCAGTGGCTTCATCTTCTTGGGGTTTAATATCATCAATTGCCAATTGCTTGATTGCTTCACATGGTGGATCCTCCTTTTTTACAACACTTGAATCAACTTGCTCTACTTGAGAGCCATTAGATTCATCAAATGCCACGTCTACTGCAATCTCAACTCTCCCAAAGATTTTGTTGAAGACACGGTAGGCATGCTCATTTGATCCATAATGTAAGGGACCGTGACGCCTAAGAGAGAGGTGAATTAGGTAACTTAAAACTCTAACTCTAAACTATAGCCTCTTTTTCTACCTAGTCAAAACCTATGCAAGAAAGTAATCTAAATGTGCAACTACGGTTTTGCTAGTGTGTTGCTATCTCTAACGTAAAAAGGAGTTATGCAACCTAGGTTCCAAACCTATCAACTAGCCTATTACTAAGCTAGGAAAGTAAAGCACAAACCAAGATTGCAATGTAAATGCAGAGGCTAAAGAGTAAGGTAGAGATATGCAAACTCCTGTCGATGACTCCAGTATTTTTACCGAGGTATCGTGAAACGCGCCAGCTTTCCCTAGTCCTCGTTGGAGCCCCTCGTAAGGAATCCCTCGCAAGGGCCAAGCTCTTGGTCGGGTAACTCCGTGGGTAGCCCCGGGCCTTCCCTAGGCGCAAGTGGGTCTCTGGTGTGCCTTTCGGCAAGCCTCTCCTGGACCGCTCCCCGCCGTCTTAACTATCAAGCTTCCGGCCGAACCACCACGGGCCATGTTCCCTTTAGTACACAGTGGCGGCCACACCACAAACACAGTTGGTGTGATCTCGCAAGACTATAAGCCCCTCCGATGTACAACAATGGTGCGCACAAGCACCGAGTGGTAAGTGGTGTGCAAACCTCACTAAACACTAGGCCTAAACCTAGAGCAAGCGCATAAGCGGTGGTCTAACTAACCTAAGCACTTCGCAAAGCACCTACGCTAATCACCGAATGTATCACTAAGCACTATGCAAGTGGAGATCACTAAAGTGGTGTATCAACATCCTTAGTATATTTCCTCAGCTCTCCACTCTTGTCTTGGCCGGTTGGAGGCATATTTGTAGCCCCAAATGAGAAAGTAGCTGTTGGGATGAAACCCAACTTTCTGCCATTGACCGGACGCGCAGGTCGTCCTGATCGGACGCGTCCGGTCGTCCCGACCGTTGAAGCCGACCATTGGCGCTCACAGTTGATCGGACTCTCTGGTGAGTCCGGACGCTTGCCATCTGACGTGTCCGGTTGATGTTTCGCCGTTCTGAAACCTCTCTGGACTCGATCGGACGCCACTGCCTGGAGCGTTCGGTCGTCCACAGCTGCTGCATCCAGTCCTCACTGAGTTGTTGCTGTGATGATGAACAGTGAAGTCTGTGCTTTAGGTCACTGCCTCGCTCAGAGTCCGGTCGCTGCTGCTGATGCCTGCTGTTGCTGAGCAACTGATTG